AGGAAAATATGGAGCCATATAGCTGTAGGTGTGTATTACGTATTGCCTGTTTGGCTTTGATAACGTTAAAAACACACTTCCATGTGCATGTGCATGTGCATGTGCATGTGATCAATCCACCGCCACTGGTTACTTCTGAACATGACCGTGTACCCACCCTGCACCAGTTTAACGTTACTTCAGGTCGTGGCGCACTGCACACGGAATGTGCAGTTTATCACAGAACTTTTCCTTCAAATTGAACATTTAATTTAAAGACTTTGAATCAGTGAAAATTCTATGCTCTGCAGCTAATCATAATGACAGATGTTGTATAGTCGCTATGTTGGGGTAACTATATTCCAGAACGTTCTCTTATCTTCCTCCATAACAATGCGGGTGTTTGTTTTCTCGCCGATAACTGGGCCCGAACAAAGTGATCCTACCCCGATAGAGTTATTCATGAAACCCATGAATTTAATACCTGGAATTAATATACAATGCACAATTTAGTAGTCACCAAAATGTTGATACAGTTTGCTTGCAGCAACATACCCCACTCTCTGTATCCCTGTTCGTGACATTCCTTAACTCGTTATATCAGTGTTCAGGACATCCGTTATATCCGTGTTCGTGACATCTGTTAAATCGTTATATCAGTGTTCGTGACATCCGTTAACTCGTTATATCCGTGTTCGTGACATCTGTTAAATCGTTATATCAATGTTCGTGATATCCATTAAATCGTTATATCCGTGTTCGTCATATCCATTTATTCGTTATATCCGTGTTCGTGATATCAGTTAAATTGTTATATCAGTTTTCGTGACATCCGATAAATAGTTATATCAGTGTTCGTGATATCCATTAAATCGTTATATCCGTGTTCGTGATATCCATTAAATCGTTATATCCGTGTTCGTGATATCCGTTAACTCGTTATATCCATGTTCGTGATATCCGTTAAATCGTTATATCAGTGTTCGTGACATCCGTTTAATAGTTATATCAGTGTTCGTGATATCCGTTAACTCGTTATATCCATGTTCGTGATATTCATTAAATCGTTTTATCCGTGTTCATGATAGCCGTTAAATAGTTATATCCGTGTTCGTGATATCCGTTAACTCATTATATCCGTGTTCGTGATATCCGTTAACTCGTTATATCCGTGTTCGTGATATCCGTTAACTCATTATATCCGTGTTCGTGATATCCGTTAACTCGTTATATCCGTGTTCGTGATATCCGTTAAATCGTTATATCAGTGTTCGTGACATCCGTTAAATCGTTATATCAGTGTTCGTGATAGCCGTTAAATAGTTATATCAGTGTTCGTGACATCCGTTAAATAGTTATATCAGTGTTCGTCATAGCCGTTAAATAGTTATATCAGTGTTCGTGATAGCCGTTAAATCGTTACATCTGTGTTCGTAGCATCCGTTAGAGCGTTATATCCGTGTTCCTGACATCCGTTAACTTGTTATATGTATGTATGTATCTTTGTTCGCGATTTTCGTTAAGTCATTGTATCTGTTTTCGGGTAAGTGAGTGATTGAGTGGGAATTACGCCGTTTTTACCAATATTCCATGAATATTGCGACGGGAGACACGAGAAATGTCTAACTGCTTGGCTACTCCCCCGTACTTCTGGTGAATAGTGTGGGCGGTCGGGTAGCCTGGTGGTTAAAGCGTCCGTACGTCACGCATAATACCCGGGTTCAAGTCCCCACATAGAATATTGCAAAAAGCGGCGTAAAACCACACTCACTCACTGACACATGGTGTCGCACATATTGCTCTGATATGGAGACGCAACGTTAATTAAGATAAATTGATATATAATCTGTATATTATTTTATGCTTACATTGCCAAAAATGTATTAAAGGGGTGGTTTAAGGCGCAGCAATTCCCCGTACAGAGTTGCGACTTTCAGGATGCCACAAATCTATGGTCGTGGATACCTATCGAAGAATCGCACTGATTCCTTTTCCAGGTTTGTCAGCATCTACACACGGAAATATAGATCTATAATTTTACAATTCCTAATATGATATCAACACAATCACATTGATCACGGTAAGAAATTTGATATTTAATACGAAAACGCAGCTGTTTTGACATGCATATGCCTTATCGTGTATGCTGCAGGGACATCGTTTGGTAAATGGAACCATTTGATGATATAAGAAAGCACTTCTACAAATGTTTGTGCGTGCAGTAGAGTGATTAGCACGAGTCGCAGATGGGGAGATGAGGCCAAGAAATAAACCCCATGCCACACATCTGGCCCGGGGGGGGGGGGGGGGGGGGGGGGGGGGGGGGGAAGTTACGTCGTAAGTACACATGAAGAGAGAACTACATGAGCCCTTGAACGTGAAATAACCCTCTCCAATACAACCATTTATATATCAGATAGGTAAATCTACAGAGGTTGTAATCAATTATTCTTCGAAATCCGCGCCCTATATATACTCTTAAAAAAGAAAAGCAATACGAATATTTTGGCCATAAAAGCAAAATTAGCAGCACTATGAACGGTATTAAAGTGCAGGTTGTTTGATTGCCTGCCATCTGTGACAATCGAACAGTGACAGTTCAACAACATGCCATGATTAACAGAAGTGCAAAGAAACAACGTCATTGGCAGCTTGCAGGTAGGGGAATCCCGATCAACTGTAGCCAGGGTTTTCAAAGTAGCGCCATCACAAGGCTATTCGATCGGTTTCAACAGCATGGGTTAACACGGGACAACCAAAAGTACCCCCACCTCCGCCCAAAATCGCTACATCCGACTGCGCCACCTTCGTGAAAGGAGGACCACAGCCACTCAACCGCATCCCAAATACCCGGACTGCGCAGAATCTCCGACCAGACCGTACGAAGCCGCTTAAGAACAGCAGGTCTACGAGCAAGACGTCCTGTTCGACGCGTCATGTTGAGTCAACATCGACTGCATTGGTGTCGTCAACACAGGGTATGGACTCAACTGCTATGGAGAAATGTCAGGTTCAGCGACGAATCAAGATTTCTTCTCCTTCCAGGGATGGAAGAGAACGGGTCAACAGACGTTGGGGAGAACGTTACGCCGGAAACTGCGTACAGGAAGTGGACGGGTTTGGTTGGGGTAGCGTTATAATGTGGGCGACTATCTCTCATCATGAAAGGACAGGTTTGGTCCATATCTTACGGCTCAACGATACATCAACGAAATTCTCCTACCACACGTCCTCCCAACTGCAGCCAACGGCAAAGGTGTATTTCAGTAGGACAACGAGCGTCCTGTACGCAACCATGTACTGACGGTGGGTTTGATTCCCAAATTGGTTAACCTGATCCACGCATGTACGTGTTCATATCAGCAGACTTCTTAGATTTTGTTATTATAAAGACAGTAAACATTTTCATGCTAATCATTTTTATTGTACGCTGGTTCTAGTGACTACAAAATACTACATAGTACATTACGACTAAATGTATCGACATAAATACTACAGTGGTGTATATGTACACGGGGAAAGAGAAACTAAGTACCCTTTACAGCCTTTACATCTTCTATGTACAACAGACAACCTGTGCATCTACAGTGGAAGTGAACAAGAGTCTATTTGTTTGTTCAGCCATGTCACTGTAGATCAGTGTTAAATATGTCAATGCTTTTGTAACAGTTACACAAATGTCTCTTTCTTCGCACGTCATTGCGAGGTCTTTAATATCTAGAGGACAGAGTGTCTATTTGTCTGGGTAGGGTCCGGCCATGACCTTGGAGATGAAGTCCTCGTACTTGACGTTGCCCTCCAGATCCTCTCTCAAGTCGGTGCACTTGATGATGTCGTCCATCTGGGTGTCGGTCAGTCTGTCTCCCAGAGATGTCAGAACGTGCCTCAGCTCAGCAGATGAGATGAAGCCCTGGCCTTCCCTGTCGAATGTCTTGAAAGCCTCCATGAAGTCGGCGTAGGTGCCTGTGTCCTTGATCTGCATGACGGTCTGGTAGATGGGCAGGAACTCCTCCAGTTTGTAGTTCTTCTCTCCGAACTTCTCCACACCTCCGTTCTTCATGATGGTGGTCATGGTAGGGTTGAGGCCCAGACAGTACAACATGTCGCCGGTCTTGGCAGCGTCGACGGCGCCATCACGACCATCCCAGAAATCGAAAAGATCGAACACCTCGGTGACCTCCTCGATTTCGTCTTTTGATAGTTGAGGCTGAAACACAAATGACACGTTATCAGAATACAAATATAGGAACAAAGAATGATTATATATTCAGTCTAAACTGTGCACAACTCTGGCAGGTTACGTTACGTATCCCAGTTCAAACAACGTCATTTTTCTTAAACCATTCAAGGAAAAAAATACATTAAAATTTCAATTTCTTAAATATGCTTTCTGAATTCTTGTTTTTCCAATTAGCATTGGAAAGTGAAATCTAATAGCGAATGAGGTAGTGAGTGTACGCTTTCATCAACAATATTCCGACAATCTACATCCTCAATAGGTGCCAGGATCAGTGTGTGTGTGTGTGTGTGTGTGTGTGTGTGTGTGTGTGTGTGTGTGTGTGTGTGTGTGTGTGTGTGTGTGTGTGTGTGTGTCCCTGCGTCGAACCTATTATCGGCGTATGAGAGCAAATATGATAAATCAGTGAGTGAGTTAGTGAGTGGCATGTCAGTTCGTAGACACAACAGCAAGACGATGGCTTGTCGAGTATTGTCGGGGATGACCTATGATTCGAACACACGACCAGAATATCCTGGCAGGATAAGGGACGCAACTCTGCATGTAGACCAGAAGTAAAATAAAGGTGGCGTCAGTTATTCTTACCATGATGCGACTTGAGGAGCTGGACAGACCAAGTGATTCAGCGGCTGCAGGGAGGGTTGTGAAGTCAGGATGCTGTCCGGTCGTATTTGTAACCCCAGTGACCTCACCGCACCGCGGGGGTACTGACAAGATACACTTGGGTAGCTTCCAAGCCACGCCCATTGCATCATGATAAACTATTTCCCCATCTCCTCCATGCTTATGTGTACATTATATCCGATATCGAGTTAACTTTGACAAAGAATTTGTTGAAAAATGTTTACAATTCTTAAACTTCGATGACACATGTTAATTATGCGATAATTTGTGACGATGATGTACTGGGGCTTTTCTAGGGCATTTTGCTCGTTTTCTGCCGCATGGCGTTGCATATTAATACTTGTAAATAAATAAAAGCAGATTAATATTATCCAAAAACCCACATAATACTGATATCTTCATGATTGAAACTGTCCTCTTTTCAAGTCACAAGACGAAATAATCATGTCACTTGACAATAAATGTCATATGCTAGATTTATTGTGTATCTTTTTACTAATCTTCGTCGAAAATCATAATGACATTCCAGAATAAAGTGTTATTCCCCGTTATTATTTCAGTTCGATTGAAATATCTTTTTTCATATCTTCAGAAATATTACATCATCACTAAACGCATATAATTTTCTCTTCTTTTCTTTATACGACCTTCCCAGGATCCAGGAACTGGGGATAATAATCAAGTATTTAGTCACAACAAATTTATCATTTGTTTGTCGGATGTTTGTTGACAGCTACACGGAGATAGATCTTGAATTGTGTACATTATTTTTTAAAATAACAGTGAGGTCATCTTGCAGAAGACCGCATCTACAACTACAGCAACTGAAGTTTGTTTGGTTTTGTGATTAATCATAATAAGCGTCAAAACATTTCCATAATCTTCAGGAATCTTTAATCTTAAGGATTCCATAGTGCGTCCGACGATATGATGAGCATGTGTTTATGAATAATTAATTTTCTGATGATACTTGATATTGGCGAGAAAGTGGGCGTATCCTGGTGGCATCCGTCACAAACACATGCAAAGGCAAGTCAATTGTTCACATGAAAAAAACATCACACGGGAACATATGGTTCAAGTCAAAATAACGAATTGTATCGGACATCATTTTGGTCACTGATGCATCAAATTTGGAATTGTGCTCATCATCTTCACCATAATACTTTTTGAAAGCTTTACTGAGGCCTTGAATGTTGTAACCTTGATCAAGCAACTTCTGAGCAAAATTAGTATGACGCTCTTTGAAACCTTCTTAGTAAAAACATGCTCGATTGTCCCTCAAAAGTTGTGAAATTTAGTTTTGAAATCAAAGGATGGAGCTGCAGGAATATTGCTCGACATAAGAGAAATTGAATATTAAGTTGAAGTCATCCCTCTTTTTATACAGTCTTGTGGAGAGTGTTTTGTCTCTCTGAATAAAGCCATCAATGAAACCATTTCACACTCTTATTATTGCTGGTGTTTTGATTTTCAAGTTTATGTTATCAAGTAAGGTAAAACGTAGCGTTTTCTTCCCGTTAATAATTGATATAACCTGTGGATCAAGTGATCAATAAATTACACCCCGACACTAACTCTGTTACGACCGGGGTTCTTAAAACACAATTACGTAGTCATTGTATATCATGATATTCATTCAGGAATAAAAAAATGCATATGGCTAACAACTTATGGTTTATAGCATGTCGTATTATCAAACAGTTAAAAAATACATTGTGAAGCTTCGATGTCTTTGTCAGTTATTTATGATCAACAGATAGAGATGTGTATGTTTACACATTTAGAAAGTTCCCGAGAATAGTAAACTGGTAAATGGTTATAGGCTATTACAAACTAATACTACGCATGTTTGTGAACAACGATTACATAACTAACATCATCCTTTTCTCATCAGCATAACGTAAGGGCATCTAGTGTACATCGTCCATCCATTAGAAGCTCCACTGTCCTCAGTTCTTATATAATCTAATCGTAATGAGCCTCCGATACCAGCATGTGCCTCTATACGCCTGCTGGGTCACCCCAGGGGTGCGGGGGGATGAACGGGGGTCGGGACCACGCGCCGGACACATGGCTCGTCAGCGAGGGAATAGGGGGAGGGGTGGTGGGGGTGTGTGTCCGCTGGGTATAAGAAGCTCGGACAACGGTTAACAGTCATCACTCAACAAGCACCTGCCCTCAGTTTTTCGGTTGTCAGACTCAAGCAGACCCTGCTAGAAACATGGTGAGTTTACAACAGATCCAGGCTGGATCAGAGTCTGTGGAGTGTTGTTTCTATAGACGTCTACAATCAGCACACACCATCACTATCGTCTGTTTGTTTAATGCCACACTCAGCAATATTCCAGCTCTAAGACGGCGGTCTGTAAATAATCTGCTGGACAGGCAATCCAGTGATTGACATCAAGAGCATCTATCTACGCAGTTGGGATACGATGACATGCATCAACCAAGTCAGCGAGCCTGATCACCCAATCCTGTTAATCGCCTCTTACAAGCATGGGTATCTGAAGACCAATTCTCTGCCGGACCTTCACGGGTCTCTCTACTTCTGTTTAAAATTACCTAATCATCTTCATATACTGAACATTGCTGTTATCATCGTTTATATTGTTGATCAGTTACTGCTATAAATTTTGTTAACTTACTGCAGCCAAAGTTATTCATCACACACTGCAGACTTGAGTCAAAAGGTGCCCCAGTCGTCTAAGGCGTTGTAATTCGCTGTGCAGAGTTGCGTCCCTTAGGCATTCCAGAAATCTATGTTTGTGGGTTCGATTCCCGTTTCGCTCCAATTACGTTTCAAGGTTTGTCAGCACCATACCCGTGCTCGTGGGTTTCACCAAAGTGATAAACGTCTGAGACCTGCATCACTTTCTCCGTCATTCGGCTGACACGCCATGATATAACTGGAATATAACTCACTCACTCACCCCCTTGAACTTCATAAACGGGACATGTTCTTCAGTGGATGTTCAATGCTTTGTTGCTGATATCTGTGTTTTGTGTTTCAGCCTCAACTATCAAAGGATGAAATCGAGGAGGTCACCGAGGTGTTCGATCTTTTCGATTTCTGGGATGGTCGTGATGGCGCCGTCGACGCTGCCAAGACCGGCGACATGTTGTACTGTCTGGGCCTCAACCCTACCATGACCACCATCATGAAGAACGGCGGTGTGGAGAAGTTTGGAGAGAAGAACTACAAACTGGAGGAGTTCCTGCCCATCTACCAGACCGTCATGCAGATCAAGGACACAGGCACCTACGCCGACTTCATGGAGGCTTTCAAGACATTCGACAGGGAGGGCCAGGGCTTCATCTCATCTGCTGAGCTGAGGCACGTTCTGACATCTCTGGGAGACAGACTGACCGACACCCAGATGGACGACATCATCAAGTGCACCGACTTGAGAGAGGATCTGGAGGGCAACGTCAAGTACGAGGACTTCATCTCCAAGGTCATGGCCGGACCCTACCCAGACAAATAGACACTCTGTCCTCTAGATATTAAAGACCTCGCAATGACGTGCGAAGAAAGAGACATATGTGTGACTTCTACAAAAGCATTGACATATTTAGCACTGATCTACAATGACATGGCTGGACAAACAAACAGACTCTTGTCCACTTCCACTGTAGATGCACAGGTTTTCTGTTGTACATAGAAGATGCCTGCAATGGGCAGATAGTTTCCCATCCATGTAAATATATACCACTGTAGTATGTAGCTGTAGTATGTAGTATGTAGTTGTGGAACCAGTGTAGAATAAAGACGATTAGCATTAAAACATTTGCTATCTGTTTATACCACAGCATGAATTGAATTTTGTCAGTTGTGCTGAGTGAGTGAGTGAGTGAGTGAACAAAAGTAACCAAGTCCTATTGTACCCATCGAGGTCAAACTTTGTCTTACAGCTCGCAATGGAGATCTTCAAGCTATGATGCGCATTGGTCTACGAATATTACTTGCTGATGTGACGTTAAGCAATAATCACTCACTCAAAACGTATATAAATAGTTTCCTGTTCGAGGTCTGTGTCAGGGCTGGGGCTCATTAGGTTCTCTCTTCGTGTGTACCTACATCATTCCTACCTCCCGCCCACGCCCGATGTGGCACGGTGTCTGCTTCTTGGGCTAATCTCAGCTTCTCGTGTTAATCACTCTACTAGATGCACAAACATTTGCTGGAGTGGTTTCTTGTAGCATAAATAGAAGAGATCATTTATTATGTACTTGTATTTCGCGAATGTTGGCGGGCACCATAGTGCTTATTCCTGTTACAGGATATCCGCCATCCCAACAAACACGAATGATTACCTACATTTTATGTCATTCTTACATTCATCGAAAAGGATTTCTCACAAACGGTACATGAACACTGCATGTTTCCTGGAATGTGCGCGTTATTATATTACGTCATAAGCTCGTCACAAGCTACACTTGTCAGAGGGGTACACAATGTACGTGATCTACACTACCAGTTGTCGGAATTTCATTTTTTTAACGTCGGTGGCTGATTGGGTTGGATCGTTGACTTAGTTGCTGGCAATTAGGGGTGTCTAGCCGGGAGAGCCACATTTCAGAAATGGCTATTGCCGGTAGAGCCACATTTTCAGCTGAGTGCATTTCACCTAATCTAGCGGGTAATTTCTTAATCCGATTACCGATACCTTTAAATGAGTGTCCCACATTTAAATTACTAAGCGTGGTGTTACTTACTTACTTACTTATATTGGAGATTTAACGTGCGCTTTCCGACTGCAAGCGTATGTCGCACACGGGCCCGGCCAGGCCATTTAATGTGTTTCCAAAAAGGGGAAAGTGAGTTTGTGCAACCCAGGAGGGGGGCTTTAGGGGTTGCTTATATAGTAATTTTGAAATTTGGAAAGAATGCCAAGAGTGGGTGGGGGACGAACTAAGGGAGCTTGCCAAGAAGTGCCACCCGACCATCTACGAGGTAGTGAAGCTATTTCAGCGAGAGCAGTCACTCAAAGTGGTTACAGTCCTGAGACTCTCTCACCAGTGGTCAGAACCTTCACGAAGAAAGAAGTACAAGGCAATCGATGCACGTATTGCGTCCCTCAAGATCCAGCTCCTGAACCAACACCTGAGTGAGATGGAATATGCTGACCACGTGGGCGGCCACCTTTCTTCTGCAGTAATGACCTAAAATCCATTATGCTATTCATATGCTATTCATATTCATCAATGTAAAGTTTTGATGAATATGTTACTGTTATCCTTGTTGAATAAAAAATGAGAAAACAAGACTTGTTTTGTTATATACGGTAACCTGTTAGAATCACAAAGCATGTTTTGACAGCATAGCCGCGAGAGTCACATTATACAATCACGCAACCATAACCATTGCCGCGAGAGCCACATCAATTTGGGCTATCTATTTTCGAAATGTGGCTTTGCCGGCCTGTAACCCAATTAGGTGCCTCACTCTGGCAGTGTGGGTTCGAATCTATGATAGGACTCAACCAAAAAAGTACTAGAATCTGTACTTTACTCGGGATGTCCTACTCCAAATACACAAGTTATTGCATTGCGGTCAACATTGTACCTCTGCCACGGGCGGGCGAGATGTGACGGTCAGTGATTCAATATATTGCATGTGTTTTTCATTTGTTTCATGGCGAGCCTACACGTTTAGATAAAATATATCAAGAAATGTTTAACTTTCATTGTGAAAATATCCTAAAACGTAAAAAAACTATAATAGTTTGCGTAGTCGTCCTGTGTGTACGTTGGTTGTACGGCTCCACGTGCTGTCATCGAAGCCTAACGGAGAGCTAGCGATACGGTCACCTTGATGTTTTAAGGGATATTGTCAGGTACCTCGCTGTCGCAGTTGTAGTAGCATATCTATATAATTATGTAGAGGAATATGTGAAGAGCACCGAAAGTCTGGCATTAAGCCAGTTCTGCTCCGATTTCAAATACGAGCGTATGTTTACAAACAAAAGAAACATCCGGTCACGTGATATTCAAATTAGCGCGTGGCAGTGGTGTATTTCTCAGTCATCATTCCACCGGAGCGTGCCGACAGACAAGAGCGACGCCATGTTTGCAAACATCGAAAGTATCACCTACCTGAACTTTTTATGTTGCATATTTATCTGTAAATGACCCCAAAGGTATACCATTTGTTTTATCCGTTTGATTTATCCGTAAGTGTATATTCTCGTCTATAACAGACATATAAAACATACACAAAACACAAACAAAGCACACACTATATTATTAGTCTGTCATACAGACCCTGAAACAAATGTATCCGATACACTCCCATCTTTCCGAGGCAAGCGTGTCCACTAGCCCATATCATAACCTTCTTTGTGGAACAAGACTTTGATAAAAAGGCTCGTGGACGCTCTTGCCTCGGGAAGATGCCGAGAGTAAACCTAACCGTTTTGCTGATCTGTCTGTCGAAGAACATGGCGTTATATTCGACAATATAGATGCGAAAAATACCAAACGATCTACTTCGAAAGCGGTGAAGGTATATCGGGAGTGTTAAGCTCAGAAAGGAAACACGGTTGTTTTTGCATTTTTTTCAATCGAAGAATTGGACAGAACGCAAGCGAAATTCTAACTTGAAGACAGACGATGAAGGCGACCATTACAAGAAAGTATGGTCTATCAGCATAGTATTCAATGACACCTTGAACATTCCACTCCTTTCTTCTGTCGATAAAATGTATATAACAAGCATAAACAGTGAAATAACAAAATCGGAAATGAAGCTTTTACTGTCTCAACTGACGCACACCTGTGAAGGTCCGTGTAGAGAATAGGTCTTGACAATCCAGTGATTGACACCATGAGCATCGATCCCCTGTTGGGATACGATGACATGCATCAACCAAGTCAGAGAGCCTGACCACCCGATCCCTTTAGTCGCCTCTCACGACAAGCTTAGTCGCCATTTACGGCAAGCATGGGTTGCTGAAGACCTATTCTACCCCGGATCTTCACGGGTCTGGAAATTTTACGAAATGATCACAGAAAATCAGTTATGAAACCAGGTGTTCGTGAACAGGGTAAGCACGTCCTGTCCTACCGGTAGCACCAGCTACTCGGAGGATGTGCATTAACAAGTATGTGTTTGTTCCCTCACGCCGCAGATCAGCAGTCCTGACCTACGAGGCGGCCCCTTAACAAATGAGACTTGTCCAGACAATAAAGTGATGTGAACAGGTTCTATATATTGTAAAATGTTCAGTATTAAACTTAACATAACTCGCACACTACATCACAGTGAGGTCAGGTGTAGTCTGGGGACATGGCATCTCACGTTGAGAAAGGATTCAGGACACTATTGATCAGCTGTATACATATATATATTATAGCTGAATGTTTTCAACATTAACATCCCATGTATTTATATATTCAGGCAATTAAAGTCGTAGGATTTCATCTCTGGCCCAAACAACCTCCCCGGGAGTCGGGATGATGCAATGGCTGGCGGGTGGTTGCAGGAGGTTAGAGATGCGAGGGGGTAATAAGGCACTTAGAAACAGTAGGGTCTACCTCTGTTGTCAGCATCCCCCGGGTGTTGGGCGGGGTGGGGTGGGGTTGCAGCGTGATGCAAGGGGGTGGTGGTGGTTGCTGCGTTGATGCATTATTGAGATATACGAGGGTAATAAGAGACTGAAAAACGGTAGGATCTACTTCTGCTGTTAGGGGGTGCGGGTTTAGGTGGGTGGGTATGGGGGATAGCGAGTGTTGCAGTGTGATGCAAGGGATCGGGTATAACGGCCACATGGCCTCACAAAAGTGGTTGGAGGGTGGGGGGCCGCCCTTGTGATGGGGATGGGGCACGGTAGGGGTGGGGCACGGTGGGGGTGGGGCACGGCGGGGGTGGGGCACGGCGGGGTGGCCTCTGGTGGTTACCCGTGGGTATAAGTAGTCCCAGCACACACTCATTTCACAACACTCATCTTTTCTTTAAGGATTCGACAATAGTCAGATCTGCACAGATCCAGCAATCAACATGGTAAGTTTACTGGCGAGTCTGTCATTGTGATGAAACGTTATCTTCATTGAAATGTTTACCTTCATTCGAAATGCATGATGATTCCTGTTTTATATGTAAATAATACAGAATAATATCTTTGATGGCCTTGCCGCATATAACAACAATTAATGGAGAGTGAGTGAGTGAGTGAGTGAGTGTTGTTTTACGCCTCGTTTAGCAATATTCCAGCAATATCACGGAGGGGGACAACAGAAAGAGGTTTGTCACATTGTACCCATGTGGGGAATCGAACCCGGGTCATCGGCGTGACGAGCGAACACTTGACAATAGTAAAGGCATGAATACACAATACCATGTAGAATGTGGTCATATATAACAATTACAATCTGGATTACTATTTAGTAAAGTACACATTTTGGTACTTTTTTGGGTTGTATTCCATTCGGAATTCGTACTCACGCTCTCAGAGTGAGACACCTAAACCTCGTCTCTCTTCCTGAACTGTACATGACGTGTGTGAAATGTTTCTTAAAGAGGAAAGTTAAATATGGGCTCTCTGTGTGACGTTACAGCCGACGCTTTAATGCTATCCTTCATTACATCATTATTTGATCCTATAATTAACAGGTGCGGTCGGGTAGCCTAGTGGTTAAAGCGTTCGCTTGTCACGACGAAGATCCGGGTTCGATTCCAGACATGGGCACAATGTGTGAATCCCATTTCTGGTGTCCCCCGCCGTGATATTGCTGGAATATTCCTAAAAGCGGCGTAAAACCATACTCACTCACTCACTTACTATAATAAACAATACATGAAGGTTTAAAACTTCGTTGCATATAACACTTCATGTCATTTGTGTTTCAGCCTCAACTATCAAAAGATGAAATTGAGGAGGTCACCGAGGTGTTCGATCTTTTCGATTTCTGGGATGGTCGTGATGGCGCCGTAGACGCTGCCAAGACCGGCGACATGTTGTACTGTCTGGGCCTCAACCCTACCATGACCACCATCATGAAGAACGGAGGTGTGGAGAAGTTTGGAGAGAAGAACTACAAACTGGAGGAGTTCCTGCCCATCTACCAGACCGTCATGCAGATCAAGGACACAGGCACCTACGCCGACTTCATGGAGGCTTTCAAGACATTCGACAGGGAGGGCCAGGGCTTCATCTCATCTGCTGAGCTGAGGCACGTTCTGACATCTCTGGGAGACAGACTGACCGATACCCAGATGGACGACATCATCAAGTGCACCGACTTGAGAGAGGATCTGGAGGGCAACGTCAAGTACGAGGACTTCATCTCCAAGGTCATGGCCGGACCCTACCCAGACAAATAGACAGTCTGTCCTCTAGATATTAAAGACCACGCAATGTTACAAAAGCTTTGGCATATTTAGCACTGATCTACAATGACATGGTCGACAGCTGGACAAACAAACAGACTCTTGTTCAATTCCACTGTAGATACACGTGTTTTCTGTTGTACATAGAAGATGCCTGCAATGGGAAGATCGTTGCCCTTGTACATAGTAACCACTGTAGTATTTAACTGAAGTATACTGAGTATTATTTAGAAGAAGTGTAGTAAGTACTATTTAGAAGTACTGTAGTATGTAGTCTTTAGAAGTAGTGTAGTATGTAGTATTTAGCTGTAGTATAGTAAGCATTATTTAGAAGAAGTGTAGTATGTAGTATTTAGCAGTAGTGTCGTATGTAGTATTTAGCTGTAGTGTAGTATGTAGTATTTAGCAGTAGTGTAGTATGTAGTATTTATCAGTAGTGTAGTATGTACTATTTAGCAGTAGTGTAGTATGTAGTATGTATCAGTAGTGTAGTATGTAGTATTTAGCAGTAGTGTAGTATGTAGTATTTAGCAGTAGTGCAGTATGTAGTATTTAGCAGTTGTGTAGTATGTAGTATTTAGCAGTAGTGTATTATGTAGTATTTAGCAGTAATGCGGTATGTAGTATTTAGCAGTTATGTAGTATGTAGTATTTAGCAGTAGTGTATTATGTAGTATTTAGCAGTAATGCAGTATGTAGTATTTAGTAGTAGTGCAGTATGTAGTATTTAGCAGTTGTGTAGTATGTAGTATTTAGCAGAAGTGTAGTATGTAGTATTCAGCAGTAGTGTAGTATGTACTATTTAGCAGAAGTGTAGTATGTAGTATTCAGCAGTAGTGTAGTATGTACTATTTAGCAATAGTATAGTATGTAGTATTTAGCAGTAGTGTAGTATGTAGTATTTAGCAGTAGTGTAGTATGTAGTATTTAGCAGTAGTGTAGTATGTACTATTTAGCAATAGTATAGTATGTAGTATTTAGCAGTAGTGTAGTATGTAGTATTTAGCAGCAGTGTAGTATGTAGTATGTAGTAGTAGTGTAGTATGTAGTATTTAGCAGCAGTGTAGTATGTAGTATTTAGCAGTAGTATAGTTTGTAGTATATATTATTTAGCTGTAGTGCAATATGTAGTATCTATTATATTGGTCTAGTGTAATGTTTAGTATCTACTATTTAGCTGTAGTGTAGTATGTAGTATTTAGCTGTAGTGTAGTATTTATCAGTAGTGTAGTATGTAGTATTTATCAGTAGTGTAGTATGTAGTAATAAGCAGTAGTGTAGTATGTAGCAGTAGTGTAGTATGTAGTATTTAGCAGTACTGTAGTATGTAGCAGCAGTGTAGTATGTAGTATTTATCAGTAGTGTAGTATGTAGCATTTAGCTGTTGTGCAGTATGTAGTATTATTATTTAGCTGAAGTGAAGTATGTAGTATTTAGCAGTGGTGAAGTATGTAGTATCTAGCTATAGTGTAGAATGCAGTATTTAGCAGTAGTCTAGTATGTAGTATTTAGCAGTAGTGTAGTATGTAGTATTTAGCAGTAGTGTAGTATTTAGCAATAGTGTAGTATGTAGTATATATTATTTAGCTGTAGTGCAATATGTAGTATCTATTTTATTAGTGTAGTGTACTGTTTAGTATCTACTTTTTAGCAGTAGTGTAGTATGTAGTATTTAGCTGTAGTGTAGTATGTAGTATTTAGCAGTAGTGTAGTATGTAGCAGTGGTGTAGTATGTAGTATTTAGCTGTAGTGTAGTATTTAGTATTTAGCAGTAGTGTAGTATGTAGCAGTAGTGTAGTATGTAGTATTTAGCTGTAGTGTAGTATGTAGTATTTAGCAGTAGTGTAGTATGTAGCAGTAGTGTAGTATGTAGTATTTAGCTGTAGTGTAGTATGTAGTATTTAGCAGTAGTGTAGTATTTAGCAATAGTGTAGTATGTAGTATTTAGCAGTAGTGTAGTATGTACTATTTAGCAGTAGTGTAGTATGAAGTAGTAGCGTAGTATGTAGTATTTAGCAGTAGTATAGTATGTAGTATTTAGCAGTAGTGTAGTATGTAGTATTTAGCAGTAGTGTAGTATTTAGCAATAGTGTAGTATGTAGTATTTAGCAGTAGTGTAGTATGTACTATTTAGCAGTAGTGTAGTATGAAGTAGTAGCGTAGTATGTAGTATTTAGCAGTAGTATAGTATGTAGTATTTAGCAGTAGTGTAGTATGTAGTATTTAGCAGTAGTGTAGTATGTAGTATGTAGCAGTAGTGTAGTATGTAGTATTTAGCAGTAGTGTAGTATGTAGTATTTAGCAATAGCGTAGTATGTAGTATTTAGCAGTAGTGTAGTATGTAGTATTTAGCAGTAGTGTAGTATGTAGTACTTATCAGTAGTGTAGTATGTAGTATTTAGCAGTAGTGTAGTATGTAGTATTTAGCAGTAGTGTAGTATGTAGTATTTTAGCAGTTGTGTAGTATGTAGGAATAGTGTAGTATGTAGTATGTAGCAGTAGTGTAGTATGTAGTATTTAGCAGTAGTGTAGTATGTAGTATTTAGCAATAGCGTAGTATGTAGTATTTAGCAGTAGTGTAGTATGTAGTATTAAGCAGTAGTGTAGTATGTAGTATTTAGCAGTAGTGCAGTATGTAGTATGTATCAGTAGTGTAGTATGTAGTATTTAGCAGTAGTGTAGTATGTAGTATTTAGCTGTAGTGTAGTATGTAGTATTTTAGCAGTAGTGTAGTATGTAGCAGTAGTGTAGTATGTAGTATTTAGCAGTAGTGTAGTATGTAGTATGTTGTATTTAGCAGTAATGTAGTATGTAGTATTTATCAGTAGTGTAGTATGAAGTAGTAGTGTAGTATGTAGTATTTAGCAGTAGTATAGTATGTAGTATTTAGCAGTAGTATAGTATGTAGTATTTAGCAGTAGTGTAGTATGTAGTATTTAGCAGTATTGTAGTATGTACTATTTATCAGTAGTGTAGTATGAAGTAGTAGTGTAGTATGTAGTATTTAGCAGTGGTATAGTATGTAGTATTTAGCAGTAGTATAGTATGTAGTATTTAGCAGTAGTGTAGTATGTAGTATTTAGCAGTAGTGTAGTATGTAGTATGTAGCAGTAGTGTAGTATGTATTATTTAGCAGTAGTGTAGTATGTAGTATTTAGCAATAGTGTAGTATGTAGTATTTAGCAGTAGTGTAGTATGTAGTATTAAGCAGTGTGTAGTATGTAGTATCAATTATTTAGCTGTAGTGCAGTATGTAGTATCTATTATTTAGCTGTAGTGTAGTATGTAGTATCTATTATTTAGCTGCTGTGCAATATGAAGTATCTATAACATTGGTGTAGTGTAGTGTTTAGTATCTACGATTTAGCTGTAATGTAGTATGTATCATTATTATATTGGTGTAGTGTAGTATGTAGTATCTACTATTTAGATGTAGTGTAGAATGTATTATCTGTTATTTAGCTGCAGTTTAGTATGTAGCATTATTATTTAGCTGTAGTGCTGTATGTAGCATTATTATATTGGTGTAGTGTAGTATGTAGTATCTATTATTTAGCTGTAGTGCTGTATGTAGTATCTATTATTTAGCTGTAGTGTAGTATGTAGTATCTATTATTTAGCTGCTGTGCAATATGTAGTATCTATTACATTGGTGTAGTGTAGTGTTTAGTATCTACTATTTAGCTGTAGTGTAGTATGTAGCATTATTATATTGGTGTAGTGTAGTATGTAGTATCTACTATTTAGCTGTAGTGTAGTATGTAGTATCTATTATTTAGCTGTAGTTTAGTATGTAGCATTATTATTTAGCTGTAGTGCAGTATGTGATGCTGTGTAGGTAATTGAGTTGAGAAGCTGTAGGCCACGAGTAGAATAAAGACTATGAACATTACATCTACAATCTGTCCTCAAATATTACCATGTACGCAATGGCGAGGGAAGAACACTACATTTGTATTTCTGCTACAAAAGGCCGGACATATTTTGCACTCATACGATAACAAATACCTCGGAAACTAAGCAAACAGACTCTTGTCCTCGTCTACTGCAGCTGCACGGGTCTTCTCAAATGTCGTACCTACAAGCGGCTTTTAGTTTGGTGGAGAGTACTTTTTACAGTGTAAAACACAATCCTGTGTAGTATGTATGTACTTCCCTAAGAGAAGAAAGAATGTCCAAGAGAAGAAATCTTTAACTATATGTTGAAATCAATATCACATTTTGCTTGTTTGTGAGGCTTATACAGATCTGTGTCAAATGCTATATACACCCCAGTTTACAGAAATATAATATTCTATTGTCTGTTGATAACATTGAAATTGTTAGACATTCGTTTGTATTTCATGGAATGCAATAAACGAACAATAGTGTTAATGTGTAATTCAAAGACTGCTAGTTGCTGCAGTGTAACGTAAGACGTATGGGCCGATGGCCGACATCCACGCTGCTGCTGCTGTAGTGTGGTGTACTCGTCCCGGGTCACTCGGTGTGTGGAAATATAACATATAGAAGCATCCAGATGATGTCTGTCTTCTTGTACAGAGCCGCTGACAGAATGTGACCGACCTTTCAACCCGACGTGCTTGTACACTTCATGAGAATTATTGACGACTAAATGGGAGAAACGTTTGTGACCTGGACAAAGTAGTGAATTGGTCCTGATGCTGCGCTGGGAATGTGTTGTAGTACATGATGCTACTAGTATATTATTCCCAGGGCGTTGTGTAGCCGAGGGGTGAAGGCGTTGACTCGTCACTCTGAATACCAGGTTCAGAGACCATATATCGGTATATGGTCTCTGCCAGGTTCAATTCCTCCAGGCGGACATTGTGCAACACCCATTCTGTGTGTCCCCTTCAGTCTAGGACAGGATATCAGGGTAAACCATCCTCAAAGGTGAACACACGTGCGTGAGTTTCAAGTCTCAAGGTGCAGTAAAATCCAAACATCAACTCCAAAGAATAATCAGTCTCGATTATCTGCCAAAACAAATTCCATTAGGGGTAAAAGAAAAAAAAGGGTTCAAAATTATATGAATCTATCTTAGCTATTTCCTGGTAGGAACCTTGCCCAGACCAGGGAGAGCGGTATGATATATGTACACCCCCACTACATTGCTAGGTGTTGTATATCACCGGGTACTTCCCTTCAGTTCCGGTTATTCAGTTCTGCAGGTACATACACGTATACATCTGCACAGACACCATGTCGAGTCCGGGGTACCATGGGTTTTCATCAACCTATGCTTGTCGTAAGAGGCGACTAACGGGGTGGAGATGTCAGTATCGCTGCTCATGATGTTAGTCACTTGATTGTCTGGTCCAGACTCGATTATTAGCAGTTATTGTTTAGCTATTTTATATGACACATGGCAGTTTACTGAAACTGGTGCAAAACGTATGCGATTCTACTAGATAATACATTGGAACTTTTATATCCAGCTACTCGACGCCGGTCTAGATCTGTACATGATCGAGTCTATTTGTCACCACTCTCATCTTTCCGTAACCTACCCCCGGAAATGTATGAGTAGGTCACGAATGAATCGAGTCTGGACCAGACAATCCAGTGATCGATATTATGGGCAACGATCCACGCCGTCAGGGTACGAGGACACGCTACGAACCAAGTCACCGAGCCTGACCACCCGAGCCATGCGGTCGCTTCTTATGACAAGGATAGACTGCGACGTATGTAATGCACAATGCATTCAAATTTACTCAACTCTGAACCTTATCAGCTAAGATTGTCAGAAAGTAATTCGCTGTCCAGGCTGCAACATAGCTGGTGTTAATCAATACTCACTCACTCACTCACTCACTCACTCACTCACTCACTCACTCACTCACTCACTCACTCACTCACTCACTCACTCACTCACTCATATTAAAACGAGGCCGTGTAATATCCCGCATATACACATTACCTAAGACGTGTATTCAGCTTACTGAATACGCTCTGTTGCTGAATATTACATTTTATTGACAAACACACACAGTCGAGCGGGATAACTTTACTTGTACAACGAATTTCAAACCTCATGAAACAGAAATATTGACCCAGCCATACAAATAGCTCCGCTATGGATAACAACGATAACACTAAAAATAACGAAATACGTATATGAAAAACACGTAAGTGACCAACACATACGTAACGAATACGTACATGAAAACACACAAATAACTAACACTTAGATAACGAAATACGTATATGAAGAACACGTATGTGACCAACACGTACATAACGAATGCGTACATGAAAACACGTAAATAACGAACACTTAGATAACGAAGTACGTATATGACAGCCACGTACATAACGAACACTGAAATAACGAAACACACATATGAAGAATACGTATGTGACCACCACGTACATAACGAACACTGAAATAACGAAACACACATATGAAGAATACGTATATGACAGCCACGTACATAACGAACACTGAAATAACGAAACACACATATGAAGAATACGTATGTGACCACCACGTACATAACGATTGCGTCTATAAAGAACACGAATGTGACCAATACGTACATGACAGATACGTACATGAAAACACACAAATAACGAACACTTAAATAACGAAATACGTATATGAAGAACACGTATGTGACCAACACGTACATAACGAATACGTACATGAAAACACACAAATAACGAACACTTAGATAACGAAATACGTATATGAAAAACACGTAAATAACGAACACTTAGATAACGAAATACGTATATGAAAACACACAAATAACGAACACTTAGATAACGAAATACGTATATGAATAAACACATAAATAACGAACACTTAGATAACGAAATACGTACATGAAAACACACAAATAACGAACACTTAGATAACGAAATACGTACATGAAAACACGTAAATAACGAACACTTCGATAACGAAATACGTATATGAAAAACACGTATGTGACCAACACGTACATAACGAATACGTACATGAAAACACACAAATAACGAACACTTAAATAACGAAATACGTATATGACAGCCACGTACATAACGAACATTGAAATAACGAAACACACATATGAAGAATATGTATGTGACCACCACGTACATGACGGATACGTATATGATGAATACGTAAATAACGAAACACCTTTATGACCAACACGTACATAACGAACACTTACATGACGAACAGGTACATATAATAAACCGACACAACCCTTTCCATATTCGCAAGAAATCTCTGCTAAAAGCAGAGTCAATTGTACGATTCTGACTATATCATGAGCATGTGTTAATGGATCACTATCAAACAGTGATGATACCAGGTGTTTGCGAAAGGGAGAGAGTATCCTGCCCCACCGATGCCCCCTACACAAACACATGCAAGGGCAAGTCAATTTTTCACCTCAAATAAAACGGGAACATATGGTACAAGCCAAAATAGGGAACTGCATCGGACATCATTTTGGTCACTGATGCGTCAGATTTGGGAATGTCCTCCACATGTCTACGATAAATCATTTTGAAAGCTTTACTGAGAACTTGAATGCTGTAATCTTGATCAAACAACGAGAGCATGAGTCGCACGACGCTCCTCGAAATCTTGGTTGAAAGAGCATGCTCGACTGTACCTCAAGAGTTGTGAATGTAGACACTAAGGGCTGGAGCTGCAGGAATATTGGTCGACATAAAGGGAAAGTTGACTGTTGGAAAGTTGACAGTCATCCCCTTGTCATACAGTCTTGTGGAGAGTTGCTTTGTCGCCCTGAATCTTTATGCATAGATCCAAATATGAAACAGACGGTGTCCAGTATTTCTAATTGAAGGGAATTGGAACTTTGACCGTTGATTAACGATATTAGATCACCGATATACCTGATTCTTGGCCAAATTCTCTTGTTGTGACTTTGCCAATCCGAGCAGAAGTTCTGATATCACATGCATAACGAAACAGATCAGCAGGACGGGGAGCACCATTGGTGCCCATGGGGATGCCAACGTCTTGCCTAAATGTCTACTAAAGTCCAGCCTTTCACATGCTGGAAACCAGGTGACATGTGCTTTGACTTCTGACAGATTGTCCTGAACCTGTACGTGAATCGGGGAATGAAGCTATCTCTGACGTTTGTCTCGTGGGATAGTGGTGTACAAAGTTGAAAAACATACACTTACGAAACGAAAAAGTTTAAAAGGTACACTTACTGTGCAACATAATGAAGATGTACCAAACAAACACTTACATCAGGATCACGAATGTAACTAGCTGTTATCACGACCTCACCCATAAACCTAACTGATGGATATAGAGAACAGTTTTGTTTGTTTGTGTGTTGTTTAACGCCGCACTCAGCAATTATACAGAATACGACGGCGGTCTGTAAATAATCGAGTCTGGACAAGACAATCCAGTGATTGACATCATGAGCATCGACCCACGCAAATGGGATACGATGACATGCATCAACCAAGTCCGCGAGCCTGACCACCCGATCCCGTTAGTCGCGTCTAACCGACAAACATGGGTTGCGGAAGACCTATTCTACCCCGGATCTACACGGGTCACAGTGTTGTTTAACGCCGGCAGAGAACACGTATATGAGGAAGACGTATATGAGGAAGACGTATATGAGGAAGACGTATATGAGGAAGACGTATATGAGGTACTGATCACAAACAAACGGATGTAACGAATGAATAGTGCCAAGTTAATTCAGTACGTGTATGTAAAGGTAATGTGAACATTGCTGAAATACACGTGTACCACAGATTAGTTTTCGTTCTTTTTCAAATTTCTTACTTACTAACCAGTTAAAATTATTTAAAATATATCACCTTAAAAGTCACCTTATGTTTTTATGACATTGTAAATACTATGTAAAAATTAACACGTAATGATTTTATATTTATATATAAAACATATTAATGTTTAAAAATCGACTAATGGCAAATTACCTATAAATACTTTCTTTAGTAGTATGAATGAAGCTCAATGAAGGTGTCCCCCGCTGTGATATTGCTGGAATATTGCCAAAAGCGGCGTAAAACCATACTCACTCACTCATTAGTACGCATATATTGACAAGACCATGGGCAGGTATAAGCAACACACATTGTCGTTCTGTCTCGTCCATATATGTATAATGTTGAGAGGGATCTCATAACGATGAGCTGATCAGCTTACTTGCGCTATTCAGTGTGTATTAAACGTTATCCAACCCAAACAGTCTTGACGTAATTAGGCACTTAGAGACGCGGTGTTCTATCTTCGCTCTCATCCTTAGCTGTGATGCAAGGGGCGGGGGTCGGTGGCAGAGGGGGGTAGGGGGAGAATGGAGCGGTGTATAGGGTATGATGCAAGAGGGTGGAGAGGGGGGGGGGGGGTAGTGGTAGGGGGGTCGGGATGGAGGGGGTATGAGGGACATGTGCGGCGTGATGCAAGGTCCTGGCACCCCGTGGACGACACATGGCCTCACATCAGTGGTTGGGGATGGGAAAATACTGAAGGGGGTGGGGGAGTGGGGAGAAGCGGTCATCCCAGGGTATATAAAGACAGAGTGGTCACTCATCTCACAACAATCTCCTGTTCGGCAAGACAACCTCACCGTCAGATCTACTCATTTCCAGCCACCGACATGGTAAGTTTACTACTTACTGTTCCAACTTACAAAATACACACTTGACCTCTAAATGTATAATGCTTTGGGGGAACACAGCTGGATAGACTTGCTGTTGGTTATCTAGATTGATTGAAGAAAATACATGTATGTCAATCGTGCCGCAGGAGAAGTGTAGACTGTAGTCATAGAGGAAGACTTGCACAAGTCTCGAAGTCAATACTTATTAGTTTAAATCATAATTTCTAGCAAATGTAAATAATAAGAACAAGTTATACTGTCCACATATCTAGACTTGTCTATAAGAAGGATAGAATTACTACACATCCATTGACCTTTCTTTCAGTACAGCCTTGGAGCAAGGCTAGCATATATATGAGACAAAGGGAAAACATGACCGTTCATCTAACAGTATTAATGTTTGTTTGTTTGTTGTTTATATGGCTTTCTATATGACGGCGGTCTGTAAATAATCGAGTGTGGACCAGACAATCCAATTTCTTTCAATGAATGTCTGCGTGTATTGGCCCTCAGTATTCACTTAAGGGATGGTAGCCTGGTGGTCAAAGCATTAGCATTAAAGCACCGAGCACCCGGGTTCCATTCTCGACAAAGTTAAATCGATGTCCACTTCTTGTGTCCTCAGCTGTAATCTTACTGAAATATTGCTAAAAGCGATGGAAAACAATATGCACTCTGTATTCCTCTATTTCATCGCTGTTTGGCCACAGTGTATTCTGTAGACCATCAATCGAACCACCCGCCGGTAGCCTACACTCATTCAGTCACTGGTATATGCTTCAGCGATTGACAAGGCTGATTGTCACAGCGATTGTCACTAATGCTGTGGTGTGGAATATTCTCAAAGACTTTGTAATTATTGTGACGTGCCAGCTGTTGAAGATGAGTTCCATTTCATGTTAGTATGTCCATATTATAAGCATTTAAGAAACATATATTTCCTAAAATAGTATTGTCATAACCCATGTTTAAGAAAAATGTACTCTCTAGTGTCATGCAATAAGCAATTGATGTTGATTAATTGTGCAAAGTTTATATACAACTCTCTATTTGTTAGACAAAACGCACATCTGTTTCAAAATTGTTTTTTTATATTTACCCCCCCCTGGGCCAATGGCCTTTCTTCTGAAATAAACTTTGAAGTATACGCTTGATAATTGGATTTGACTAAAACATTACAAAACATATCAGAATGTTTCGAGATGAAAAGGTCGATGGGGTAAAGCGTTCTCTCGTCACGCCGAAGACCCGGGTTCCATTGGGTACAATGTGTGTGAAGCCCATTTCTGGTGTCCTCCGCTGTGATATTGCTGAATACTGCTCAAAGCGGCGTAAAACCATACTTACTTACTCACTCACTCACCATGCTGAAAACGGTCGCCGAAACACTGCAAACGTAGGTGCGAAACACAGCTGTGATACCCGTATCAAATACGTCACCATCGAATAACCATTTCTTGAATGTTTCAGCTTTAGCCACCATCAAACATAGGTGTATGTCTTTCGTTTGCCAGGCAGTTTACTATCACGTGTTTTTCACAGACATAAGTCCGATTGCGCAACTAATTCAAATGTAGATGATAAATAATTACTTTATGAAGATCGGCAAAACATATTATACATAACTACACCAGCGTCCACCAGTGTCAAGGGCACTGTGTCAACATTCGTTTCGGCACACATCGATCTATTAGAGGTCTGTTGAAGCGATATCATATTCTTATATTTAATATGGTTAAATATTATGTATTTTGAGAGTACGACATATAAACCTATTCATAAATACCATCATTATGCCCTCATGAATATCCGGGTTAGAATTGGTCTTCAGCAACCCATGCTTGTCGGAAAAGACAACTAACGGGATCGGGTGGTATATTAAAGATCTGTGAAGATCCGGGGTATAACAGGTCTTCAGCAACCCATGCCGTAAAAGGCGACTATGCTTGTCGTAAGAAGCGACTTGCGGGATCGGGTGGTCAGGCTCGCTGACTTGGTTGATGCATGTCATCGTATCCGTTTTGCGTAGATCGATGCTCATGATGTTAATCACTGGATTATCTTGTCCATACTCGATTGTTTACAAACCGCCATCATATAGCTGTGATATTGCTGGGATCGTGCGGCGTTAAACAGGAAATATACAAACAAACAAACAAGATCGAACATGATGATATGTATCATCTTTGTGATTTGTTGTTGACTGAGTGTTGATACACTCTTACTGAATACATTTGTGTTTCAGCCTCAGCTATCAAAGGATGAAATTGAGGAGGTCACCGAGGTGTTCGACCTTTTCGATTTCTGGGATGGTCGTGATGGCGCCGTCGACGCTGCCAAGACCGGCGACATGTTGTACTGTCTGGGCCTCAACCCTACCATGACCACCATCATGAAGAACGGAGGTGTGGAGAAGTTTGGAGAGAAGAACTACAAACTGGAGGAGTTCCTGCCCATCTACCAGACCGTCATGCAGATCAAGGACACAGGCACCTACGCCGACTTCATGGAGGCTTTCAAGACATTCGACAGGGAGGGCCAAGGCTTCATCTCATCTGCTGAGCTGAGGCACGTTCTGACATCTCTGGGAGACAGACTGACCGACACCCAGATGGACGACATCATCAAGTGCACAGACTTGAGAGAGGATCTGGAGGGCAACGTCAAGTACGAGGACTTCATCTCCAAGGTCATGGCCGGACCCTACCCAGATAAATAGACAATGTTCTCCCAATGCTGATAAACACTTAAAATGAAAGACACTTACAACTGGACCAGAAACCGGACGCCAATGCGAACAGGCGCTCAAATCAATGACATATTTCAGTTCCTCTTCCAAGCAATGTTGACCAAACATACATAATACCGGAAGAAAAGTAATTATTTAAAATCCAATTTAAATCCTATTTTCAAACTATGGTACTATAATATCATACACATGAAATTATCTTTATCAAAGTGTAGATAACTGTATAGAAACTATACCACCTTCCTCAACTTAAAGCTGGCCATGTTAGTATGTAGCCGCTGATACACTGGAAAGTCAGAATGTCAATGAAAATAAAAATTATTAACATATGATGTATTGTGGTTTTTTTATAGTTAGCGAGTAATAAAAAAATAATTCTTGCTGTTAAATGTAAAGATGGATTTTCCATTTTATGGGAGAAATAAGTAAATAATAGATACATATTAAATTATTAATATGGGAAATCTGGGCCTGGTGCCACAAAACGATCTAAGCCCAACGACCTGTACCTTTTCAGGTTTAAAATGGACTTTGATTTGTATGTGTTTGTGATTTGTATGTGTTTGTGATAGCATACATTCGCCTTTTCGCGAACACAAGGTATCATCCCTATTTGATAGTTATTCATAAACACATGCTCGGAATCGTGCAATCTAATATTCCTTATGATTATAGAATTGTTTTTCCGATTCTATTTACTATTAATTATTGTGGAAAGAATCATGTGTTTTGACTAAGTTTTTGTATGACCATCACTCAAACATGTCTTGTGAGGTTAATCCGAAGACTCTATTGGTTTTGCAAACTAAGCAATGGTATCATCTACGTCACTGTGAGGTTAACGTGTGGCAAAAGACCATGTGTAGTAATAACAAGAGATGGATCATACAGCTGTCCAGATGCTGCAGTAATATTGAGAACCCGTGAAGATCCGGGTTAGAATAGGTCTTCAGCAACCCATGCTTGCCGTAAAAAGCGACTATGCTTGTCGTAAGAGGCGACTAACGGGATCGGGTGGTCAGGCTCGCGGACTTGGTTGATGCATGTCAATGATTCCCAATTGCGTGGATCGATGCTCATGATGTCAATCACTGGATTGTCTGGTCCAGACTCGATTATTTACAGACCGCCGTCATATAGCTGGAATATAGCCGAGTGCGGTGTTAAATAACAAAATTAAAAAAACAAACAAACTTGCACTATCCTCTGAAACAATGTCAGCTTGGACATATAAGTAAGCCTCGATTGTTTACAGACCGCAATCTATGGCAGGAGTATTGCTGTGCGGAGTTAGACAACAAACACCTACTTTACCCTCAAATTGTGTGAGTGGTGGGTTCTACATGTAAAGCAGGACATATTACCCTTTTCGCTAACACCTGGCGTCATAACTTATTTTCAGTGATCCATTCATATAATTGTCTCCACTAATTTCTCCAGATATTTGTGACATTAATTAATTTCTGGCGTTTTATGTGTCAATATGTGATGAAGGTTTTACATGCAGTCAATAGGACTTCCTTACAGGGAACTGGTCACCAAGGTAACCGAATCGACCTACACGGGATGCACGTGCGTGGGAGATGTCACGGTCAAGCGATGTGGTATATGGAAGCATATACTCTGGGGAGATGATGGATGATGAGGTAAGTATCCTATTGATATGCATGAGTGACCTTCCTTAGAGGGAGTCGACACTGGATTTTATTTAGACCATTTGTGAACCCGTTTCATCTCCGCTGTTCCCTTGCCGTCATATTAAAAAAATGCTATTGCGGATGTTTTTATCGGTTAAACATTCGCTATGATACATGTTTAAATGATGGATTGAGTAAATATATGAAAATTATAAGAATATAGTTAGTTTTGGGTGCCCTTACCTGGCGAGACGATAACTATCACGGTATTTCTTACACTGTATACATGCATCACAAATCTGAAACTCGCGACCTGTAGATTTTGCCGATAAGAGATCTAATTTGTCTTTTATCATATGCGAATAAACATTAATGACACTATAAACAAGGAAAAACAATCAGATGAAAATACAATAATATACTGTCTCAGAATTAACGGTAACATTGATCGACTTTCTCTGTTATTTGTATGTCAAGGGCACTGTGTCAACATTCGTGTCGGCACACATCGATCTATTAGAGGTCTGTTGAAGCGATATTTTATTCTCATATTTAATATGTATAAATATTATGTATTTTGAGAGTACGACATATAAACCTATTCATAAATACCATCATTATGCCCTCATGAATATCCGGGTTAGAATTGGTCTTCAGCAACCCATGCTTGTCGGAAAAGACAACTAACGGGATCGGGTGGTATATTAAAGACCTGTGAAGATTCGGGGGAGAATAGGTCTTCAGCAACCCATGCTTGCCGTAAAAGGCGACTATTCTTTTCGTTTAGAGGCGGCTAACAGGATCGGGTTGTCAGGCTCGCTGACTCGGTTGATGCATGTCATCGTATCACAATTGCGTGAATCGATGCCCATAATGTCAATCACTGGAATGTGTGGTCCAGACTGGATTATTTACAGACCGCCGTCATATAGCTGGAATATTGCTGAGTGCGGCGTTAAACAACAAACAAATCTTTTCTTGTGTGAATATAACTCGCTGTAACTGATTACCGCAGTTTGTATGGTTCACTCTTGCTCTGTTGATGATATGGCTTGAGGTTTGACTCTCTTCATCACGAGTGTTTTTTAATATGGGAAATATCAACCGAGTCTTAGTTAATCGGTATTTGCCGAGCCTTTGGCGAAACCAAAGTAAACAATTCGCTGAGAAAAAAAGTTCCTCGGATTATTTTAAACAAAATACTTGAACAGACTTTTGCAGAATAATTGAAACTTTAATAACGGTTACAACAACGATTCTGTGTAATCTGATTATATCTCTGGTGTAACTTCACTTATAATATATAGTTTCAAATCAAACCGCTCGCTCTTCCGGTTATCTAATTTGCATATCTAATTTGCATACTTATGTCATTGGGGTATGACATACATGTTTTTATGTCATAAGCTTATGTCATGGATAAATGCTTAAGTTAAATGATAAATGAAGATATTACACCCCCGTACCATAATGTCCTGAAGTAACAGGCTACAAATTGAGTTGATCTATTGCACATAATGACACAGAGGAACCTTTTTCTTACAATATGAGCTAAAAATATGAATCGGCATTTGATTGGCTAACCAAGCATTTTTTATTGCATCAACATAAAAAAACATAAACATTAGGCCGCGCCCCCAAACGGGCGACTGTTCCCTGATTGGCTGATAATAAAATGGGCAGGACTTGTCTTGCATTATTGTGCTGAACGAAATCACTGATTTCGTTTTGTTTTCCATTTTGTGTGTGCGTTAATGATTAAATAAACAGTCTGTGAAGCTATAGTTATTGACGTAGTTATATAAGAATTTACTTCAAGATGTTTATAAAGTTCATAAAGTTTATAAACGCAACATCCGGCTGCACGCGTTTCCAGGATTTTACAGTTCGCACACCTGGTTATATTTTTATGCCTCCATAAACGCAACATTTAATCAAGTCAATTCATAAATCACCGCACCGAGGGACCCCGTAGGGCCAGATGGGCCTGTTTAGACCCAGGCCCCTGTGGCAAGTTAGTAATGAAACACACATATGTTATACAAACGTGTATGGACCGGGGGGGGGGGGGGGGGGGGGGGGGGGGAATGAGGCGGCCCGAGTAATGAGCTCGATCTACGCCCTGATTCATCGGCCATAAACAACACAACTATGTCTCGGTCGGCCATGTCCCGAGTCGGTGCTTCAAGCCCAGGAATACGAACCTGTACGTACATACAAGGGTCAATTATTTTTTTCGTATTCCTTAACTAGTTCTTATTATTTACATAATTTAGAAATTATACCTTAAACTAATACTTTTTGCCTTAGAGACTTGTGCAAGTCTATATTCAAGGTGTACTCAGCTTGGGCTATCACCATTCATCTCCTTCCTGTTAGTTTAACTCGTTGGACTATAGGTAAAATATATAGTAGCCTATAGACGGGAATCAGTTGTCTGACTGTTTGCATTGAAGGATGCGTATTTCCTTCACTAAGTCTTCACTGGTTCCGTGTCTCCTGCTGTCAAAGAAGTGAAGTAAAGTGAAGTATGGGACGGCATGTGTGTAGGTGTCATCGTGAGAGTCGTACATGATGTGTGTAGTGTAGTGAAGGTTATGTGGCGGGGGTGTGGGAGGTGTGTCTCCTGCTGTCAAAGAAGTGAAGTATGGGACGGCATGTATGTAGGTGTCATCGTGAGAGTCGTACATGATGTGTGTAGTGTAGTGAAGGTTATGTGGCGGGGGTGTGGGAGGTGTGTCTCCTGCTGTCAAAGAAGTGAAGTATGGGACGGCATGTGTGTAGGTGTCATCGTGAGAGTCGTACATGATGTGTGTAGTGTGGTGAAGGTTATGTGGCGGGGGTGTGGGAGGTGTGTCTCCTGCTGTCAAAGAAGTGAAGTAAAGTGAAGTATGGGACGGCATGTGTGTAGGTGTCATCGTGAGAGTCGTACATGATGTGTGTAGTGTAGTGAAGGTTATGTGGCGGGGGTGTGGGAGGTGTGTCTCCTGCTGTCAAAGAAGTGAAGTAAAGTGAAGTATGGGACGGCATGTGTGTAGGTGTCATCGTGAGAGTCGTACGTGATGTGTGTCGTGCATGCGCAGTGAAGGTTATGTGGCGGGTGTGTGTGAGGTGTGTCTTTCGTCAGAGAAGGTATCAAATGGTTTAGGTGTCTTAGGTGTACGTGGTTCGTTGTTCAGTTGACTCTGTGGTCCAGCGTGTTGGAGTATATTTCACATGTTTCGGTTGTTTGGATCTGAGTGAGTGAGTGAGTATGGTTTTACGCCGCTTTTAGCACTATTCCAGCAATATCACGGCGGGGGACACCAGAAATGGGCTTCACACATTGTACCCATGTCGGGAATCGAACCCGGGTCTTCGGCGTGACGAGCGAACGCTTAAACCACTAGGCTACCCGACCGCCCCTGTTTGGATCTGATCGTTATGGATAGAAACAAGTGAAATACATAGAACCTACATCAATGTCACGATGGCACGGTGTGGCGGTATTTGTTCACCAGCCTGCATCACTTCCGGCTTTCCTCCCACATGAGGCTGACAGGCAGTGACGTAACTAAAATACCGTCCAAAGCGAGGTTATCCGTGAACATCCGGGTTACCATTGGACTTCAGCAACCCATGCTTGTCGACTAACGGGATCGGGTGGTCAGGCTCGCTGACTTAAGATCGATTGCATGTCATCGTATCCC